CTTTGTCGAAATCCAACTATCATCATGCAGCCCAGTCTACATTTTATCCACAAATGATACGACCTGGCGGAGAGTCTACAACGGTTTTGCTGGTAGCGGGGTGGCGGAGGGCGAACTGTATTTATGAAAGGCGGCAATGGTGCCACAAACAAGACTCAGAATGAGCAGGTTACCTTCAATATGCAAACAGGACGGCCGGCTTGAGTAACCTCCCAGACAGGCGAGACACTCCGCCATTTCAGCGGTCGAGTCCGTAGTAGCCCCAGTTTCCTCGTGCAGCTGCGTAACCCTGAACGAACCCTCACCCAGCTCGGGTGGACAGCTAGGACAGGGGAGAAGAAAGGGTATTACTCAGTGGAGAATCTCAGTATATAAATACGTTAAAAAGCAGAAAGACTCCAGGAGCTTTTCCGCTCACTGCTCGTATGTGTAAGGTAGTTCATCCGTCGACCAAGGCAGTCACAACAATGAGAGCTTGCATGCGTTCTTAGTTTCTTTTCTTACGTTTCTACTGATTAACTTGCTAGACTGGGTCGGAATGACTGGGAGCGGTCTTGAGTGCAAGGCTCGACCTGGCCTCAAACTCGCACCTACCAAAAAGGAATAGTCTTCTTTCTCACAACCGAAATACTCTTCACGTACACATAAATTCACCGATGACTTGAGTGCTCTGGCTAGCCGACGTCGGCTTCGCCTGCCAATCGAATTAGCTGTTGGAATGTGACTACTGCGCCCAGAACCGTCTCATAGAGACACCGATAGGAGCTGGGCGACAGATGGACTCCGAGCGGGATAATTGCTGCGTGACAAGGCAGAAAACGAACTAACTTAACCTGGACAACCACTATGCAGATGAAGGCGGCAGAAAGAGTGAGTGGGAAAGGGGCGGGTGTGGTGAACCTCCACCGCACATTGAGTCCGTTGTTCGACACTGAAACTAGAAACTGCCGAATTATTTTGAAGCTTACCAGCAGTTGCACTTGCATAAGGTTTCCTAAGTAAGTGCTGTATGCACTTTGTTTGAGGCAAATCACAAGTTTCTCCACGATACGAGGAGGCGGTCACACAGTTATCATTTAAAGGTAGCATTAATAAATGTACTGACAAAATGTTTTATGAATGGATGTTCCATTATCTTAACAAATCTCATAATTCGAAACTATTTTAAAACCAAAATGAACCCTTTTGTGTAGGATTCATATAATATATACTTGGCTTATTAGCCGTCGTCAACTAGTCATACCCAGACCCAGGTGGTGTCACACCCGAGCCTCGAACTGACAAGCTCGCGAGCTCGTAGTTCAATGGTTAAGGCGTTTGACTCTGACTAGAGAGGTCGATAGTTCGAGGCTCGGGTGTGACACCACCTGGTTCTACGTATGATTAGCTGACGACGGCTAATAAGTCAGAAATGGCCATCCTAGTCTCCCTTGTCATTGTCGGTAATGTCCTTCTGCCTATATCCTAGCTGCCTGGCGGTGGAGGCTCGAATGAGAGCTCTAACGGACGGACGAGTGTGTCCTCTAACAGATCGGTGTACGCTTATCTGCTACAATATATATATATATATATTTATTTATTTATTTAAATTACAGGTGGTCAAAAAGAAGTTCGTCCAAAAGCCGGAATCCTGACGTGACTGGAATATCTTAGGATGAGGCTGTAAAATAATCAATATGGCAACCATACCTAAGTAATCTGTTCGAGAAAAAAACTTTTTTCAGAAGTTCGATTGGAATTTCACAAGACAGGACATCGACCGTACGAATTATCATTGGTTCCGATCCCAAGGGAGTAAGAGAGGCAAAATTTGATTGGTTAAGAAAAAAACGGAACGATTGACTTCAGTCGCTATAGGTGTAACCTTAGTTTTCTTTAAGCCGCCGACTGTCATAACTTTGGCTTGCGTATCGGCGCCTGCTGTGGTAGCACAGAGAAAAAACAGACTCACCTCTCCTGAAGACGTTGTACAACGTAGTTTGCGGCTTCGCGACAAATGGCGGGAACCCCTGCACCCACCCAGAGCCAACACTTTTTGAAGATGCCGCGGTCGC